CGGTGAGAACCCGGCGTGCTCCGTCCCGGCTTTGTAGGGATGCGAGGTCAATGGTCTAACGACTACGGCATGCACGACTATGAGTACCCCCCCCCCCCTCTTTTATTTCTCTGGTCCCTCACTACATTAGCCCCCCTAGGCGTTTCACGCTACCCGACTGTATGTGCATCAAGAAACACCAGCTATAGGCTGCTGCCTTCACGTCCGCACCATACTTATCTGGCGCCAACGCTACGTTGTACCTCATGACTAGGTCTACAAATCTATGTTGTACGGCCTGGGCTCATCTCCTCTCCTCGACACCCCGTGAATTACCCCCAGCTGCCATCCATTCCTCTCGGTACGCAAATAAATCTTTGCACCCTTCATCTCTACAGTGCGAAGCTCGGGCCCTCCTACCCACGTGGCTTTAAGGGCATACCCTGGAGGTACATACAGGGATTCAAGCGCGCGAGCTGCAGAGCGTAGGGCAGCGAGTTTGCGGAAGTCGCGGAACTGTTTATTGTCTGCTCCTACTTGCGTTACCCCCTCCCCTAGCCAGTACTGCCTGTCGAGCTCTATCTCAACATCTTCCGAGGTCACGTAGAAAGGGGGCGCTTGCTGCGAAACTTTTTCAGGACGTACGCACACAGCTTCCACGGCAAATACTTGGGGATGTCGTGGTTCTCGTGCGGAAGGAAACAACGCTTACACCTCAGGACTGACACTCGCCTACTGCCCTTCTGATCGTATGGGAACTCCAGAAACAACAGTTTGGGACCTTCTACATGGTTCCCCACCTTGCACGGACCCACTCCTAACACCTTAAAAGCACCCACCCACTTGTTCGCCAATTTGCTCTTTATTCGCTGTTGAGTACTCCCCCCTGCCGTTGCCAACATATGCTGCACATCATACACCCATACCCACTCCCCAGCGGAAAAAATCGGTCGCTTGGTGATAGCGTTGTCTAGCTGCTCGTTGTTGGCTCGATGCTTCTCCTTCGTTAGCCTATCACTCTCCACCACTAGTTGGTAGGCCCTAGCCTGTCGGTCTTTAGTCAACTGCAAGAAGTCGAGCTGGTCCTGCTTGGTACTCTGCCGCGCCCTGATCTCATTTCTAGACCCCAATATCGTCATCGGCAACCGCGGGTACCTCCCTATGTGAATCTCAGAAGCGGCTAGACCAGTGGCTTTGCTTACGTGGTTGTTGTGGCAGTAACAGACTTGCAACAGGTATTCATCCCAATCCGTCTGCTGAGAACTGACGACGTGATACAACATCTGGCAAACGGTGTGATTCAGACGCTCGACACAACCGTTGGTGTGCGGATGAAAAGAACTCGTGTACCGCTTCTTGGCCCCAAGCATCCTGTATACATCCTTGGCTACCCGAGCTGTGAACTCTGCCCCTCTATCCGACAAAAGATACTTCGGACAACCCCAACGAACGACATAATCATCCGCAAGCTTCGTGACACAACCCTGTGATCTTTTCTCTTCACTCGTCAACGCGTAGGGTTCGACATGTCGGCTAAAAAGATCGACCACCAACAGAATATATACGTTCCCCCGCTTGGTTTTTGGCAAGGGACCTAAGATGTCGAAAGCCACCATCTCCCCAGGCCGGGAAGGCAGCGGTAACGACACCAGAGGCCAGCGGTGAGCACGTCTAGAGGTTTTGGAAGCTTGGCACTGTATGCAATGTGACACAAACCACCGCACGCTTTCAGACATACCAATCCAAAAGTAGTAACGCTCCAAGGAAGCCAGAGTTGCGTTTTCCCCCAAATGCCCACTCTCCTTGTGTACCACGCCCAGGGCCCATGGTCTCAACAGAAAAGGTACGTACACCCGATGGGGTTCATCCCCTAACAACCTCTCAAACTTCCCACTGTTCTGGTCTGCCATACGACGGGGGTTTTCGGTGGGTTTCCGCACCAACAGGGCCGAATTGTCAGGCAGCCGCAGCACTTCACACGTACTAGCCACAGCCTTCACTCGAGCCACATCAATTTCTCCCTCATTGCCAAAGCGGATGTAAACTCATACTCTCCCCCCTCACTCAAACCAGAAACATACTTGATCACCGCCGCAGCCCGGAGATCATCTGCCTGCGCCGCGGCCCACTCGAGGTCCGTCTTGCGGTTAAACTTCTCCGAAGCGGCGAGCTGCTGCCGCTTGAGATTCTGGCACCGGGATTGCTCCCGCCGGGGGGGCACGCCGCCGACGTGTTCTACTCCGGGAGCGCCGCGGTGATGGTGACCGGCGTCCGCGGCTGGGAGGGGAGGGCGCAGTTGGTACGGCGGCTGCGGGATCGTTGGGGTGTCGTCTCGCCTCTCTAGCGGCCGCCGCGGCCGTCCTCCGCTGGCCGGGCTGTGTCGTGGTGGGATTTGCTGCGGGGTCGTCTGCGTGCTGTCACGCGTCTCTCACGGCCGCCGCTGCCGCCCTTCGCTGGCCAGGGGCTGTTGAGGTGGGGCCGGCGGCGGGGTCGTCGGCGTGCTGTTGTGCCTCTCTCGCGGCCGCCGCTGCCGCCCCTCGCTGGCCGGGGGCTGTTGTAGTGGGAACGGCGGCGGGGTGATCGGCGTGCGGTCGTTCCTCTCTCGCGGCCGCCGTGGCCGTCCTACGCTGGGCGGGGGGGCGCCGCGACCGTTGCTTGTACCCCGCTGCCGACGGATGTGCCCCCCTCCCCCTCGCCGCCGGTGTGCGTGCCGGTGTTCCCTGCGGGCGGGAGGGGCGGACCCCCGCCGGCGCCGGCGCCGCGTCCCCATGGGCGGTGGCAGCCCTCCCCGGTCTCGGCGATTCCTCAACCCCTACATCCCGCGCCCGACGCGGCCTCCGCGCTGCCGCCGCCGTGGTGGACCGTGTCGATGGACGCGACGACCTGGTGACCACCCGTACATCCACCAGGAGGCCCCTGACATCCCCCTCGGTTGCTGTGGCGCCGATCGGATGCCCATGGAGTATTAGCCCCGGCTGATACTGTCCACTGAACGGTTGCAGACCGACGGAAGACACCGGGCTATGGGGGCAGTGGGGAGGGCAGGAGGGGGATGGGTTAATGGCTAGCACCGATGGACTCGGATGGTGAAGAGATATCCTAGTCAACTCCGACTGAACGCCAGCCCACTCACGAGCCTCAACCTCCTCCGTGGTACACAACGTTACTGGTCTCATATAACGACACTCTGTGGGGCCACCAATGAGTGCATCAGAGTCGGAGCCTAGCTTCCGCGTCGCTCTTCTGCTAGACCCAGTAAAGTAAATAAACTTCGAGGTCTCCTTCCTCCATCATCTTGCATTTGTCAAAATCGTCTGCCGTGGGCGGCTGTGGTAAAAGGGACAAAGCATCCGCTACTTGGTTCTCTTTGCCCTTGCTATAGGACAGGGTGAACGAGTACGCCGATAAGAAATCACACATGCGTTGAACGCGTGGTTTCTTTTCACCCATAGAAATAAAAGATAGAAGCGGCTGGTGGTCGGTGAATGCTTCAAACGGAATGCCATGTAAATAAACACGCAATTTATGGTCCACACCAACGCTCCACACTCCAGCGAGCTGACATCCCAGTTCGCTTCGTTCGGTAGGATCGATCTACTTATGTACACTAGAGGACGGACGGTCCCATCCTCTTGCGGTTGTTCCAGTGTCGCACCAAAACCAGAGATACTAGCATCGGTCGTGAGTCGAAATTTACGAGTGCCATCGATGGCGGCGGCATGGTCGGGGAAAGCCAACACCTCGTAACTTGCTAGCTGGGCCAACACCGCTTTTGTCAGCTGTTCATGGTGTGCCGTAAACTTGAAGTGTGCGTCCTTCTTGAGAAGGGCGGTCAGGTCCGTGATATTCCTCGCTAAATTGGGGAGAAATTTTCGAAGGTACGATACCGAACCAAATATGGACCTTAATTCACTCTTAGTCTTGGGCATTTTCATCTTGGCCATAGCGTCTGTCTTTTTAGGATCGGGCTGCAAGCCAACAGGGGTTATCAAATGCCCCAGAAACGTAACCTCTGCCGAGCCGATGTGGGCCTTCTTGGGAGACAGCTGGAGGTCAAACTCCGTAAACCGCACCAAAAACTCCCTCAACTGCACCACGTGCTCAGCGACCGTGAGGGACGGCACAATCACGTCGTCTAGACACACTTGAATCCTTTTAAACCCATCACACACCTTAGCCATCAGCGACTGGAAATTCGCCGGGCTCCCGGAGCATCCTTGTGGAGTCCGGGCCCATTCGAACAACCCGAATGAAGTGCAGACGGCCGTCAGGGGGATGCTCGACTCGTCGATGGCAGCCTGAAAATACCCGCTCATCAGATCGAGGACCGAGAAGACCTTGCTCCCTCCCAGCGCCGAGATGAGATCGCTGACTAAGGGCATGGTGAAAACGGGAACGATTGTCGCCTCATTTAACCGTCTAAAGTTGCATGTCAACCCCAATCTACCATCCTTCTTCAACACAGCTACAAGTGATGACGCCCAATTCGAGGTGGACTTCCCCAAAATCCCACAGCTAACTAACCGATCAATCTCTATCTTGATTTTTCGGTTTATTACTGGACTCCGCCTATACGGGCGCTGCTTTACCGGTCGCGTACCTGGCTTCAGGTCAATGCGAAACGGCAAGGCGGTGCAGTGCCCTAGATCAGTCTAATGCGCCGAAAACCGATTTGCATGCTCCACTATTACATCCGCTAAGCTATCAATGTCCTTGGCCGTCCAAGCGTCATGCCCCGACCCAAAATTCACTTCACGTACATGCGCCGGCACCCGTGCCCATAGCCTGCGGAATGCCTCCTGGCACTCTGGCTTCATGTCGGCAAGTAACTCCGGGGGAGGGGAGTCGGGGCTGGGGAAGGGGGGTGGGTTTGGGTTAGTGGAGGGGTCGGCGGTTGCTTCTTCCTCCTCTACTGTGTACAACGATACGGTGGGCTCTGGAGTAACGACAAAATCCGACAGCGGTGTTTCACACAAGGGTGTTACGTTGCTGCTGATGATGCTACCCGCCCGTACTCCCAACGCTGTACGCACAGAAAGGGGCAATGCTACCCCTCCTGCCTCTACCATCATTTCCGGCGAGGTCCAGTTCTCTGAAAAAAACTTGCAAAACATTTTCCTTCCCTGACTACTTGTCCCTCCGCCGTCTCCACTCGGAGAGGGACCCAATACATCTGGTCTGTTAGGTAATGCACGTCTTTCGTGGAATAAAAAATCAAACGATGCTCGCTGTCATCATGGTCTGGTGACTCGATGTACGCTACCATCTCCGGCTCAGCATCCTGGTCAACCGTAGGTGTTTGGGTAGGAGGTAGGGAGGTTTTCAATCTAAGAGTGGTCTCACCCTCCCTTTTATCACTACACTCCCTCACAGGGAAACGCGCCCAACTGTCTGTACCGAGGAGAACCTCGTGGCTCATCACCCCCTCTCGTACTACATACGCGTTCGCTGCAAGCTTTGCTGTGGGTTGACGCACGATCGAAAAACTGTACATTGAGTCGCACCATGCTATTCGTAGCCAATTTTGTGCCTCCAAACCCATTCCATTTACGTGTTTTGGCAGTGCGGATGCCTGATTTCGAGGCTGCCCCGCATTCGAGCATGCGCAAATGATTGGGGTGACCGGTGTCAGCTAACGCCACTGCTGGCTGCACTACTTGGGCATGTGCCCCTGCAACCACACTCACCTTCGCGGTCTGACGGCTAGCACTCAAACATACCTCCCCTGCCTTGAAGTCAATGACTTCCTTCAGAAAACTACTCGGTAGCTCACTCCCCAAAGTATCGTGTGCAACTCTGCCCGTCCGCTGTTTGTTCCACACACGCAGGCTCGGAGGGACTTTATCCTTCACACTCAGACATCTACCCCCTTCCGTCCGCATACCCTTGCCCTATGGCTCTTGTTTTTAGTCTTTCTCCTTTCCGTGTGCCCCCCCTCTACTAATTTAATCTGGGTCAGAGGGGCCCTTGATGGAGGCGACGGAAGCTGTTCCGCTCCTACACCGCTCTCTGGGATAGCTGTCGAAGTCTCTACTACTTCCTTTATACTCTGTGTACACTGTGCCGCTGCTGCCGGTTTTCCTGCGACCGCCGCGACTGACTGCTGTGTAGCTGCTGCTGTGTGAACAGCTGCTGTTGGGGTGCCGGTTACCTCTGACAAATTTCGATGGGCAGAGACTATACCATGCGTTGGGGAAGGGCCGATCTGATCGACTGCCCCCCCCTCCCCGCGGTTCGGAAGCGGCCAAGCTGTATCTGTGGGCTCGGCCTCAATTCCTATCTGGACTACTGTGTTCTGGGTACTCCACTCGCGCTTGCGGGGAAGCGGGCGTGTCCTTTGCCCTGTACTATTTCTCTTCTGTTCTGTTTCTCTCTGAGATGAGTTGGGTTTTGGTGTCGGGTCATGACTCCCGATCTCTACCCCGCTCCTTTTCTGGTTATCGCTCGGGACGGAAACTCGCTGCACCTCCAGGATTTGCTCTACATGTAGATTCTCCCTACTGCTTCTACTTTCTCTGCTGCTGCTGTTCCTATTTTGTGCACGTTTATCGGTTGGTGTGGCGGATGCCGACGGCCCCCTGTCACGGGGGCTGCTTCCCTTACCCATTACTGGTACGGATGCTGCCGCCGCCGGGAGGTTGTAGCCCCCGGCGACGAGGTACTAATGGCTCGAAGAATTAGATTTTTCGGTCGCTTCTCTACGGGCCCTAGCACGCTTGATAGTTTTTCTTGAGGGTTGCCAACACGTCGCGCCAACGTTCCTCAACCTCCTTCGAGGTGCCCTTTCCAAATGCTTTGTTGAATTATGCACACGCGTTTGTGTATGGCTGGTCGCAGTTGCGGAGGTAGTGCTCCTCTGATTTGCAGTTAAAGCATACCTGGCCCCACTTCTCCCTACCCTCTTTAGCCTCTTTTGAGTTGAAGGAGTATTGGAACAGCCTAATGCCTCTGGTCTGTTTGCCCGCGGGTGGTCGTGCTTTCACCTCCATCACCTCCTGCCAATCATCCTCGTCTACCGGTTCATAGGTTGTGCCGTTATCTAGCACATCATGTCCCACCGTGCACCATCATGACTCGCGGCTGCTGTGATTTGCTCTGTGTGGGGAAAGAGTGCCTAGCCGGGGCCGCTCCTACGTGGGTTGGTGCTTGTGCTGGGATGGCGCTGGACGTGTGGTCTTCGAACAGGGCAAAGAACCCTCGGGAAGTGGTGATCTTAGCCAGCTTGTCGGCAAAGTTCATCGCTACCGTGGGGAATTGGATGCTGAGGCATTCGGTGGCACACACGATCAGAGCCGACTCTTCTGGGCACCGGTCCCCAAACCAGCGGAGGCCCTCGATCAACCGCCTGATTTCTGTGGACCACGACATAAAAGGCGTGCCCTCAGGGACGTTGAACTGCTGCAGCATGCTGGGAATGCGTGAGACTTGAATCTGGGAAAATATTTTCAACACGCTGTCTGTGAGTTCTTGCAACCCTGCCGGCCCCAAAACACCGTCCGGCGGAGCTAGACGCTCGTTGAGCCCCGTAAACATCGCTCTCAACTCCCCTATAACTCGCTGTGCATTTTCGTCTTTCTTCACGTGTTTCACTAGATATCTCAACAACGGCGCTGTCCACTGGCGCCGCCAGTGTTGTGTGTCGGTGTCCCCACATCCCTGATGATGGCTACAGCGTTCTGCAGGGAACGCACCATGTTGACGGCGGCGGTCCAGCTCCGGGGATCCTCGAACGGCACGAGCTCCATGGGTGGCAGCAGGCGGGCCGTGTCGTAGGTGTTGAGGTTCTTCACTACGGGGCTGGGGTCTACGAGGGGATAGCGGTGGGCGTAGCCGGCGGCCCCGGGTGGGTACAGACCTTGCCCCGTTTCAGCAGCGGCGGCCGGGGCTGATGGTGGGACCTTGGGGGGGGCAGCGGCGGCCACCGACACCGACGCGGGGGTAACAGACGGGGTCGCATGCATCCTATCCGACAACATCGCTCCCGCTCCTTCCACCGCCGCTGAAGCTCCAACAACAGCGGTAGCAGATGGCGGCTGCGGTGGCAGTCATGGAACGGGAGCTTGCCGCGGCGGCCGCGGCCTGTGAGGCGTCCACGGCTTCAGCGGAGGAGGCGAAGCAAGATGGGGTGTTCCTGAGGGCGGAGGTGAGCACAGCGCTGGCTGTGCAACGCAAACAAGTCAAATACACGCAGGTGCTCTCCACCACGCCCGCTCCTGCCCACACCCTGCCGGTGGCCAACGGGAACACAGTGCCGGCCGCCCCTGCTACTGCATCGGGGGCCAACTCCCCCCACGTGCCCGCTGCCGCCACCGCCGGTTTCCAGCTTCAGGAGGGCGATTTCCCGCAGCTGCCACAGGTGAAGGGGAAGACCGCCTCGCCGGGGCGCCAATCGCGCACGCCGCCGGAGCTCATCACCGTGGGGTACGTGACTTCGGCGGGGGCGAGGGAGAGGGCCGGCAGCGCACCTGCTTTGGACACCCCGGCGGCGGCTACCGCCGACACCACCGCCGACACCGCCGCCGCCACTGCCGGGGTGGCGCCACCGCCGCTACGCGCACTCCGTATGACCGACTCAGAGAACGCGCAACTGATCGAACAGCAGCAGGACAAACTGCAGGGGTGGCACGAGCGCGACTTTGAGGACAGAGCGGCGGCGACAGCGGCTGGAGGAGACGGCGCGGGGGGAGTAACGGCGCCGCCCACTACCAGGGACGTGCATGCAGCGGCTGAGAGGGCCGTCCAACGTGCCCAAGCTGTGGAGGTAAAGGCACGCGGTGCGAAGTGGGTCACCCGCGTGCAACAGTACAAGAAGCACAACGCGGGTGTCACGCTGGAGGAAACGGTCCACCGGGTGTGGGAGTCGTATGTCAACAGCTTCTACCTGTACCACCCCGATACGGCCCCCGCCCCGCCCAGCAACCCACCTACGTGGTACCTCGGGGCGGTAGCGGCGTCGGCAACGTCGCCACGGCACCCATGGGCTCAGCTCGAGGAGGCGTCGCCGACGCCGCTACCGCCCCGAGGTACCACGTAGGTGGGTCGCTGGGCGGGGCGGGGGCCGTATCGGGGTGGTACAGGTAGAAGCTGTTGACATACGACTCCCACACCCGGTGGACCGTTTCCTCCAGCGTGACACCCGCGTTGTGCTTCTTGTACTGTTGCACGCGGGTGACCCACTTCGCACCGCGTGCCTTTACCTCCACAGCTTGGGCACGTTGGACGGCCCTCTCAGCCGCTGCATGCACGTCCCTGGTAGTGGGCGGCGCCGTTACTCCCCCCGCGCCGTCTCCTCCAGCCGCTGTCGCCGCCGCTCTGTCCTCAAAGTCGCGCTCGTGCCACCCCTGCAGTTTGTCCTGCTGCTGTTCGATCAGTTGCGCGTTCTCTGAGTCGGTCATACGGAGTGCGCGTAGCGGCGGTGGCGCCACCCCGGCAGTGTCGGCGGCGGCGGTGTCGGCGGCGGTGTCGGCGGTAGCCGCCGCCGGGGTGTCCAAAGCAGGTGCGCCNAGTCGGTCATACGGAGTGCGCGTAGCGGCGGTGGCGCCACCCCGGCAGTGGCGGCGGCGGTGTCGGCGGTGGTGTCGGCGGTAGCCGCCGCCGGGGTGTCCAAAGCAGGTGCGCTGCCGGCCCTCTCCCTCGCCCCCGCCGAAGTCACGTACCCCACGGTGATGAGCTCCGGCGGCGTGCGCGATTGGCGCCCCGGCGAGGCGGTCTTCCCCTTCACCTGTGGCAGCTGCGGGAAATCGCCCTCCTGAAGCTGGAAACCGGCGGTGGCGGCAGCGGGCACGTGGGGGGAGTTGGCCCCCGATGTAGTACCAGGGGCGGCCGGCACTGTGTTCCCGTTGGCCACCGGCAGGGTGTGGGCAGGAGCGGGCGTGGTGGAGAGCACCTGCGTGTATTTGACTTGTTTGCGTTGCACAACCAGCGCTGTGCTCGCCTCCGCCCTCAGGAGCGCCCCATCTTGCTTTGCCTCCTCCGCTGAAGCCGTGGACGCCTCACAGGCCGCGACCGCCGCGGCAAGCTCCCGTTCCATGGCTACCACCGCAGCCGCCATCTGCTGCCGCTGTTGTTGGAGGGCCGTCAGCATGTCGGCGTCGGCGGTGACTCGTTTCTGAAGGTTGTAGTCCGTCGCGCGCGCCTCCCGGTCCACCGCCGCGTAGGCCACCTCCGCACAGAGAAGTTCGGCGTGGGCTTCGGCGACCGATGACGGGGAGTGTGCTCGCACGTGGGCCTCGAGGTGGCGATTCTCAGCGTCGGCGGACGCCAGGTCGTTGGTGACGGAGACGTTATTGGTCATTGTTGAAGGCCCAGAGAAGAGTGCCCCCACGGTGGGTGGGAAGGCCGTGGCGTCAGCAGCAGCCGCCGCGGCGTGGGTAGACACGGCCCCGTCGGCGCCAGACTGGTCCGAATGTCCAGGCGTGGGAGGGGCGGCGGTGATGGCGTCCAGCAGGTTGCCGAAGCCGCGTTCGCGGATTGCCTCGGTGATGCGGTACACCTGTTCCAACCTCTGTGAGAACAGGCGCAGTAGCAGCACTAGATGAAGCTGCAAGGAGATCCGGCGCATAGGTGACGGCGTCGGGAGAAGCCGACGAGTCAGGCATTGCCCCAGCAGAGGCAGATGGAGGAGCGAGAGAGAGGGGGGCGGGAGGAGGGACTACAAGAGCAGGCTGCACGCTACCAGCTAGGCGCGGGCTACGGCGTGCAGGAATACCCTAAGACGCGTCTTTCTCTTCAGGGACCCCGGTGTCACGCTTACGGTCCGACATCATCAACTCAAACAAACTCGGCAGCTTCGCCAACTGTGACAAAAACTTCTAGCTGGGTTTGTATTCTGATGTGGAGCACTGCGAACCAATCACAAGTGAGGTGTGGTTCTACTGCAAGGGTGGTTCTGCTAGTACTTCGGGTCCAAAGGATGTTTGGTCAATGCTGTCAATGCTCGTGGTGTGGTCACGGGTCTCTGATGTGCACAAGAGGTAGAGTCGAATGTGGTCTCTTTTAGTCAGCCTGAAGGTGAACTCCTGATCAGCAAGAACACCTACTGCAACTCAACAGCTTATCAATCTGATCTCACGAGGCTGTCCAATGCTATGCTAAGGCGTCACACTCAACACAACGCTATGGGGACGGCACTCACGCTCACCTAAACCCTAGTCGAAGCTATGCCACGCGACTTCTGATCAAAGGGGGTGGCTGTAGGAGCACTGAAAGCCAGAATAATCCAAATACATTGGGAACTCCGGGTAAACGGGGATAACTTCAACCATACGGTTACAATCTGCGGAGCTTCCTACAACAGTTGTTCCAGGTAGAACTCCACGACCAAGCAGATATCATCAATCCGCATCAACCATGATGAGGTTTGCAGTGTAGAGTTCGGCGGTTGCCCGCCTGGGTTCCTCACCTCGGATACACATTAGATGCATTTCCTGAAGAAGCACTATTATACAGGTAGTACTACTGCATACAGTAGTCTACATGCGTGCATATGTGCGGATTGACATTTTTCGGGCACCCGAGGTCCGAACCGCTTCACACAAGGCTCACGGCAGGTATTCATTCCCCGATTTCCTGCCTCTTGGGCAGAGAACGTATGGCAATGTGCGTATATCACACAGCTCGCCGGACACAACCCATAAGGGGATATGAGGATGTTTTCCTGCGGAGGGGACTTCAGTGTTGGCCTTGGAAGTCGGAGCGAGTCCGAAATCAAGACCTGCATTTGTTGAAGACTGCTGGTTCCGAAGAACAAGCTGCCTCTCTCGGTTCGTTGGATGAACTCTCTTCCTCAAAGAAATTTTCAACAACATTCTCATCTCGGGTGGTAGTCTGAGTGGTCACTCTGCACGACTCCCTGGCGCCGGATTGTAGGTTCGATTCCCTCTGCCGCTGGATTGTATCCACCTAGTGTTCTACAGTAGGTCGTCAGTACAGTACGTGCCGGGTTGCTCCTCACAAATACTTGCACATGCTTCGTGAGGAATCGTGGCACGACGCCAAAGAAATTGAGCATAGCGGTAGGCACTACGTAGTACATGTATTTGCTGTAGAACCACAGGTGGCTAGTGGGCACGGTTACGGGGGGGTTCAAGTTGTTACCTGTAACCCCTAGGCGTTGTGCAACCTGCTTAACCCCGTCGGGTGCACCGTTGCCAACCTCCAAGGTCAAGCAGGGTTCGACAACGCTGGCCAAAACCCAGTTAAGGGACATTTGTATCCGTGCTTGGTTATGGGCGAGGTTGTCCAAGCACAAGAATGTCCATGCCTTGCCGCGAAAACTACCCGCCGTTGTCCACAGATTTTCACATCCGCGGCAAAACAAAAAAACTTAAAAAGGCGGGTTCCGAGCTAAAGACGAATCACCTTTCCCACCTCGGAGAAGAAAAAAAAAAAAAATTGACTTCGCAGATCGTTCTCAAACGCCCAAAAACGACGTTTAAAAAAAGTTCCCAAAAAAAAAAAGTTCCCCTTCAGCCCGAACTTTTTTTTTCGCCGCATTGCCTAACTTTTTCGCCACGGGAATCGTCGCCAATCGATTCCGCTTGGTCGAATTAGGGGGGGTAGAGCCACTCAGAAAGTTGGTCAGACAAAAAGTGGTGGTGGGAAGCGGGCTTGAAAATGCTGCGCGGCCAGGGCCCAGCGGTGACTGCCGCTGGCGAATGTACACGCATCATGTATGCTGGCCAAACAAGATACGAGGTTATCCACAAGTGGTCCCCACACGAACGAGGAATCAAGCTTCGCACCACCTTGTTGGACAGCAAGAGGAAGGGCAGAAAAGCCGCGGAGAACACAGGCTACTGCGAGGCTAGCGAAGTGGTTTTGTCCAACTTGGCCCGCGAAAAGGCTGACGCCATCATGGCGGGCAAGCGAAACGCAGCTCGGAAGAACGGCATACCACAAGGCGGCGGAAGCGGGGGTTGCGGGGCAGACAGGGTTATGTCCTGCCCCGTCATCGCCGCCATCCAGGGTTCGCATGAGGGATTGAGGACACGTTCTTCTGCCACCACCAACCCGGCTGCTAATAACCCAGAGGTAAGCTGCGCGTCCGGTTGGGCAAGTACGATGTGTGGTACTGCTGTAGCACGGGTGCTGCTGCCTGCTGCCTGCTGCCTGCTGCTGCCTGCTGCCTGCTGCTGCCTGCTGTA